AAACACCTTTGCCAAGTCTCTATACTCTCGAGGCAAAGAAGCTAACTCTTCCGGTTGCAAAGTGCCGCAGGGGAACTGTGTGGTCGGCTGGTCCCCCCACGAATCCACCCAGCAGTGATCCACACACTTAGCCGACACAAATTTGACAACCCCTTCTTCCCACAAGATGTAAGGGTCATGGGTAAACAACCAGGGACTCCCCAGTACTAAGTCGAACTGCGATTTAGGGGTGACAATGAAGGACCTGGATTCCCAATGATCTCCCGCCCCCAACCGCAAAGCCATAGTCTCGTGCGTACAAGGTTCCATGGGTGCCCCATCCATCTGAGTAAAAATGATGGGGGACTTCAAGGGGACTATCCCCGCTTCCAGTGCAACTAACACTCTAGGGCTGATGAGATCCCTCCCACACCCAGAATCAATCAACGCTCTTACCCTAACGTGGGTTCCTAGGAGCGGATTCATTAAGGAGACAGTCACGAAAAATAGGGAAGGGGTTTCTCTCACCACCTTGGGCGCAGCATTAGAATGGCCTTGTCGTTTTGCGCCTCTCACAACAGGCCGTTTTCGTTTTCCGCCGGTTCAGCCACCAGCTCTTCTTCAGACTCGGTGGCAGCCGGTTCATTTTCCCCCGAACCTTGGGCTGCCTGCAGAGCTTTGGAGAAACGCGGTTTAGCCATCCCCTTCTTCCCCGACAGCGGTGTCTTCGGGCTTGGGGTAGGCGGCTTGTCTTTGACTTGACGGCTGCCACAATCCACAGCGAAATGCCCCTTCTCCCCGCACTTGAGACAGAGCCCCATCTTCATCCGTAGTTCCCTTGCCGATTCCGACAGGCGTTGAGTCTTGGGTTTAGAGGCACCGACAGCGGCGGGTCTGTTGGTCGTAGCAGCCAGGTCGAGTTTGATGGTGGTGAGCCGGTCTTCTGCATTTTCAGCTTCTTGGGTCCAGGCCATCAGGGAGACAGGGTTGACAGTTTTCAGAACCGTTTCTCGGATTTCTGCGTTGAGACCCAAGCGATACATCTCAGCCAATATATGATCAGGGTAGTCTCGGAGCTTAGCTGCTTGCTTGTGGAATTCCAGAGTGTACTCGCGAACCGACTTCTTGTTCTGGCGGTAGGTCCGGAGGAACGCTTTAGCTCTTTGACTCGCGTTGACATCTTCGAATCTCGCCCTCAGCGCCCACATGAATGCTCGCAAATTCAAAAGTTCCGGACCGCGGTCGTTGTGCAGTCCAACATACCATGTGGCGGCGTCTCCTTTCAGTCTTGCCGAGATGACATCAATGAGACCAGCTTCATTTCGGAACAGGTGTCGACTCTCTTCTACGAATTTATGCACCCTCACCGTGAAGAAAGCGAGTTCATCCGGGTTGCCGTCGAAGGTAGCCTCCAGCAGATCCTTGGGTCTGGGTCGTGGAGGCCTCACCAACGGGCCCAGCTGCCCCGGAGCTCCCCTGGGAGGGAAACCCGGTACAACCGGTGGCCCTGCTGGTATTGGCCTCAGCGGCGGCGGCAGACCCGGCACCGGCGGACCCCCTGGCATCGGCGGCTGCGCAGGCACTGGCGGAGGCGGTCTCACCGGCTGCTGGACAGGTACCTGCTGCGCGGGAACTCCCGGTGCTTGTAGCGGCTGAGCAGGCATCGGCGGCGCGGGAAATCCCGGTGCAGGAGCAACTTGTAACTGCGCGGCGTGTGCGTCCAGGAAATTGGCCATTCTAACGTCCAACATTCCCGGCAGGCCTTCCATCACATCCTGGAATGCCCGCATTAAGTCTCTCACCGAGTCTTCCAGTTCTGCTAGACGTTCCCCGGTAGTTTCCTCCGGGATGGGGTCCCGAGGGCGGTAGTCCGGGGGTGGGTCATAGTCCTCTTCCGTTTGGAAGGCTCCGGTGCCCTCCTCATCTTCTGCGTGACCACGCGGTCCCGACGGCTCGAACATCCACTCCTCGAGGTCCTGCTTGGGGCTCCCCTTCTCCGAGGTAGACCCAGGTTCCGGGAACAATCCCTTGTCAAACAGACTCTCACGTAATCCGCTCCCCCGACGGGAGTACACCTCACGGGTGCCTTGGGTGTTGTACATAGTCCAATCATCCTGCTGGTGAGTCTTCCGCGGACCCCATTGCGAAGGGGTCGGAGGCGGCCAAGACAGATGTGCAGGCAGGCGGGGAATCGTTCCTCCCACGGCACCCTCCATCGAGGCTGCCGTCGTGAACACCAGAGACGCGGAGGTTTGTGGGACCGATCCCGAGTCCCCCTCCGTGTTAGGTAGATTTCCCTCAATTCCGCTCATGATCTTGTCAGATTCGGAACGATAGGAAAAGGGAGTTCTAACAATATGTTGGATCCCCAAGCATCGAGAATAAATCCACGTTTTCAAGAAAAGCAAAATTTATTTCAAAGCGTTGAAGACATACTCAAACACGTTCTTTGTTAGAACTGGGGATACACAGTTAGGTCAAGCATAATAAAGGAACTTCAAATAGATACAGATCCAATGAATTGCTTTCCCGCTGGCGGGCTAATGAAACGGTTGCGCGCCCAGTACGTGGGAACCAGGCAGGACATCAGACAAAACACAGGTGGCAGTACTCATGGGAAAATCAATAGGCAAGCATTACAGCATCTTCTCCCCCACACAACCTCCAGCAGTTATCTTACGCATTCCAAAGCAGGAGCAGGATGATAGAAACCAAGCCGGGTGTAACAGGGAAAGGATATGTACACAGAGGTCACAGAAAACAGAATGGCAGCTTGCTGACAGGGGTTGGGCAGTCTGATTTGCCCTCCATTCTTCTAAGTGACGGCTGCTCTCAATAATTCTCCCTTCCTGGCTCTTTGCAGCCATGACCAGGGCAGTTTTTGTTTATTCCCCCCCCCCTTTTTTGGCTAATTTACAAAGTCATTTTTTTCTGCATACCTGGAGAATCCCAGGCATATAGAAACCCCTGTCTTATCTGCAGGTAGACCTATTATGCTGTTTTCATTATTGACACACAGGCAGCCAGTTCACAATTAGATAAGGAAAAATAATAGAATTTTAAAATGCTGGTCATCCCCAGGTGCATGGAGAAATGACTAGTTATGTCACAGTATACAGCCACTTTTGGTGTCTCCTCTGTAGTTCCCTCTGGAGAAAAAAAATATCGAGTCACTGATTCGTATGTGATCTGTTGGACTCTACTAGGAGTTTATAAGAGCCTTCAGATTATTAGTTTCCCCCATCTGCTGCTTTCCCTCCAGTCCCTTGCCTTCCTCTTTCCAAGCATCCTTCAGTCCCTCCCCCCCAGCCCCCATTCCACCCTTTGAGCCGTTTTTCTTCCCTCTGCTTTCTGCCCCCAATTATCCTTCTTGTCTTTCCTGTCTGCCTACTCCTTCTTTCCCCAACTCACCTAAAGTTTCAAAACTGCAGCAGCCATTTTGGGTTACCTAGGCAACCACTGCCACCATTGGTGGTGTTGGCTGCAATTGCCTAGGCAATCCATAATGGATATCAAAATCTCATGAGGTAATCTTGTGAGATCTTAGCATTTTAACCCTCTAATTTTACTCTCCTTTTAAAATATAGGCTCTTCTGGTGAGACTTTCTGTATGTGGCCCTATTGTTCAAATTTTTTGATCTGCACTCTGGGACCATGTTCAGAATTAGATACACAGAAGTACCACAAAGTGGCCAGAATGGTAGAGTTAAGATTTAACTGATGTGTCTGATGTAGACAGGGATGCTCATCTCTATCTTTGATTATTCTCTGTATTACAGAAAAATTTGAAGAGCTGCATCTTCCATAGACCTCCTTCCCACACTTCAGTAGTGATCACATCAGCTCTGGTATAATACAAATCAGTTACTGGGTTCAAGTTAAGATCCTGGTTATATCCTACAAAGCCCTTCATGGCTTTGGACCCACTTGTCTGCAATACCACCCATCCTACTATGCTCTGCCACAACAGGTCCCTCTGAGCAAAGCCTTCTGAAGGTACCACCCTGCAAACAGGTGAGAAAACAGCAAAGCATTCTGAGAGGTGACTCCCACCTTGTGGAATGGCCTGCCTGAGGTGGGCAGGAAGGCCCCCACATTTCTATCATTCTGTAGATTGTGTAAAACAGAATGGTTCGGTAGGGCATTTTTATAAAAGGAATAGAGTGATAATACAAGAGAATGGTTCAGAACGGCACTTTTTATAAAAAGAACAGGATTGCAGTCCACTACATTGTGTACCGTATGTATTATCTAACTACACTATAATCTTTTCTCTTTATTATTAATAGTATGTCATACTTTTGAACTATGGTGCTGGAGAAGACTCTTGAGAGTCCCTTGGACTGCAAGAAGATCAAATCAGTCAATCCTAAAAGAAATCAACCCTGACTGTTCCCTGGAAGGCCAGATAATGAAACTGAAGCTCAAATACTTTGGCCACCAAATGAGAGGGGAGCACTCACTGGAAAAGACCCTGATGCTTGGAAAGATTGAAGGTCAAAGAAGACGGGGACGGCAAAGGATGAGATGGTTAGACAGTGTCATCGATGCAACGAACATAAAACTGAGCAAACTTCAGAGGACGGCGGAAGACAGGAAGGCCTGGCGTGAACTGGTCCATGGGGTTGCGAAGAGTCGGACTCGACTGTGCGACTCAACAACAACAACATACTTTATACTGTTTTCTGTTTCCATTGCTTTCTAATTTTGTAGCTGTTGCATTGTTCGTCAGATGTCTTATGCTGTCTGATTGCATCGCACTGTTTTTTATATCTTGTAATCTGCCCTGAGTGGCAATGAGAAAGGCGGGCTATAAAAAAGGTAAATAAATTAATAGTTTACTTTGCAGCAGAGAAAATGTGGTATGGACTACAGCCTCATGTATTCCCACACACATAGAACAGTGCCATATTATCAACATGCCAGGTCACTAAGTTTCATTTTTTAAAAATCAGCTTTAATCTTATTTTTCTGAATTCACATGTTATGGAAGTTACATTATACTTCAAGTGTCTGTGTGCTTGCTGGCAACTCCTCACAGAGGTCTAGCCCCATGGCTGAAAGTTCATTTTCACAGCAGGGAAGCGTGTCCCTCTCCTTGTCAGAAGTCTAAAGCCATGATTCTTTAATGACTGTCAAGTTGTGCTTCTGAATATACTGTAGCAGAATCTGTCCTCTTCGGTCTAGGGTCTGAAGCCAGGACCTGAGCCCCTCGACTCCACCCTGGCTTTCCCAGAATTCTTTATCCACATACAGCGACTGCAGCAGCAGGTTTTGTAAGCATCCTGACCTGAGCACAGTCACAGCTGTCTCAGGAAACCTGGCAGGGGAAATTAAACAAGAAATAAAGAGAGTTTTAAAGACAGAATCCCATAAACTGAGGCGTTAGAGCAAGGAGGCGACATACGAACCAGTCCTATTTCAGCTCCCTCAACCATTCAGCTTCATAACTTTTTGATATTTTATGCAAAATTATTCCCAGGCTGAGAAGTTTGCATCGGTGTGCTGAAAACTATCCATCTGGTAAATAAACAACAAAACCCTGTAGCACCTTGGAGACCAACAATTTTACTGTGGCATAAACTTCCATGGACTGGGGCCCAATTTATCTGATGAAGCAGGCCCTAATTCTTGGATGTTTATACTACAATAAAATGGTTAGTTTTTAGGCAGGGCCTATGGGGGGCATTTGGCTTGGCCCTCACATTTATTGAGGGCCTCAAATCTAGACTTTTAATGTTATCTGCAAATGAGATTATACATACAGTCGCAGAGATACACTGACAGGACTGAAAGAATACATTTATCATACATCTTTAAACATGTGCCCCCTTTACCGAGCCACCCCGCCTTGAAACATTTAAAATATACCACAATTTTTGTAACCCGGTTTTGGCATTTCTTCATTTTTTAAAATATACCGGGAGCCTCAACAATGGAAACGGCCCAGGCCTCTCTCAACCTCTGAGAAACCCTGTCTTTAGGAGTCTGATGTTTTCCCTTTTCCTACAATAGAATTTCATACAACTGCCATCTTGAATTTAACATGTTAGTTCTTGGGTTAAGGGCATTTCCAGCCCAAAGTCTTGAAACTGACATGTGCAGATTGAGAGGAGGCTATCTCCCTTCCTTGACACACACACATACACATGCTTCAAGGACAGACCAAAAGGTAATGACCCTTTGGGGGCAATCTTCCCCCAAGATGCTATTGAAAGAACGTACACACAGGTGCCAGTGCAGAGCTTCCCATCAGATGTTCCTTCAGATTTAAAAAAAAGGAATAGCATGTCATCTACTTTTCTGTCTCTGGGACCAAGAGGGCAGCAGTCTCCAAAGCGAGCCTACGTGTAGTGGAGGCAGGACTGGTTAACTGTCCAAAGGTCCCAAGCAGTGTTCCCTCTAAGCTGAGTTAGTGTGAGCTAGCTCACAGTTGTTTAGCCTCCGGCTCACACATTTTTGCCTACACTCAGGAAGGACGGCTCCAGAGCAAACGAATTTATGCAGTAGCCAATTCGCTCCCTCACAACTGTAATGCTAGTAGCTCACAAAGTAGCATTTTTGCTCACAAGACTCCACACGGCTTAGAGGGAGCATTGGTCCCAGGCAGCCACTCAGGTCTCCAAAATGGCAGAGCGGGTGGCGATGCGGAAGGAGACGAGAGGCACGTCTTGGGCCTGTCATGGCCTTCTGCACCAGAGCCCTCGCCACCTGGAGTCGGGGGTGGGGGCTTGCTGTTTATCCCACCTTGGGCCCCCCAGGGCCAGCGTGGAAAGCAGATGTTTCAAGTAGCTCCGAGCTAGGAAGAGTGGGAACGCCTGAGAACAGACACCAGCGAATCCCATTCATTCACCTTCTGTTTTCTGTTTCCATGAGATGTTTATTGGAAGAAGTCTCCTAACCAAATACGTGCGTTTAGCTATACCAAATAATATCTCCAGAGGACGGGAGGGGGAAGAAGTGTCATTGGCAATGAAACTCCCGTACTTTCTTCTAAGAACGCTTCTTACCCATCGATGCCTTGCAGCAATCTGAAGTTGACTTTGGCTTCTGGGTGGAGAGGCCTGCCTGCGTTGTCAATAAATACTAAGCGAGAAGGCTTACTCCTCCGAATCTAGAAAAGAAGGGTAAACAGGGAGCCTCGTAAAAGTTCCAGGAGTTTTAATGAGAGCATGGCTTGCAAGACTGGGGAGTAAACAGCAACATTATGCCGCTGTAGCCCACATCAATGTCCCTTTTGGTATACTATGAGTATAAAGCATATACTTTACCAGCATCTGGCTTCAAGCCCATACCCATGATGTGGTCAATTTGTATCATTTTGGGGTGGGGGGGAGGAATGAAAAACGCTCTTTCATGACTAATGGAATAGTATTATGGGATGACAATGATTGGGAACAGCATACCAAGATATGAACCAAGGCTAGCTCAGAGGGGTTTCGGCATTTCTCATGAAGCAATTCTTGAACGCAGGGCTCAGAAGGATCTGGCTGAAAGCCACAGCAGTATCGATCCAGGCGGTCATGGACCTGTGGGTGATGTGGTATATTCAGAGGCATCAGAAATCCATCATACCAAACAATGACCCTTCATGTGTCCAAAATCAATATTTTGTGGTGGCTAAGGCCCAGACAAAACATGGCACTTTCACACACACTGGACAATGCACTTTCAATTCACTTTCAGGGCACTTTAGTGATCATTTGCAAGTGGATTTGGCATTGCACATAATAAAATCCAGTTGTAAAGTGCATTCAAGTGGATTGAAAGTATTTAGCATGGGTGAAAGTGATTCGTATCTAGTACTAAATACTGTGTGAGAAGTCCTCCAATTGGGCAAATAGCACCCTGGGGCCGTTTCTGGTCAGGAAAACCATGCAAGGAAGAGCCTGAAGCCTCCTCCCTCCATGCCGCAGTCCCATCCAAACCTGGCTTGTAGCTACACAGTGGGGCTATTGGAGGCTCTGCCTCCTTCCTTAAAGGGCCAGCCCCCTTCCTTAAAGGCCCCCCCTGCTTCTCCCAGAAAGCTTTTGAGAAGAAGCAGGGGTGGCGCAGGCCACTCTCCCTCCCCTCCTGCAAGGTTTAAAGGGCCTTTCAAGCTGATCAGTGGGGAACACGTGGCCCGTCGATCAGCTGGAGAGCCCTTTAAATCTTGCAGGAGGGGAGGGAGAGCAGCCCACACTGCCCCCTTCATTATGGCAAATAATTTATTTATTTATTTATTTTATTATATTTATACCCCGCCCTCCCCACGAATGGGCTCAGGGCGGCTCACATAGAGCACAAAGTGCATACAGTATACAAACATTAAAACAGATTAAAATCGATTTCAATGGATGCACATATAAAACTCCTAACATCTTGCGTAGCAGAGGGAAAGGCTAGGGTAATGGAAAGATGTTGCCCAACCCCCCGGTGGTCTCTCTCTCTATAGAGGAGCGGTGGTGGAAGTGGCCGTGGCGGCTCCTACTCGTAAACCTGGTGGAAGAGCTCCGTCTTACAGGCCCTGCGGAACTGCACAAGGTCTTGCAGGGCCCTGATCTCCTCCGGGAGCTCATTCCACCAGGTAGGAGCCGCCACTGAAAAAGACCTGGCCCTTGTTGCAACAAACTTGGCCTCCTTAGGGCCCGGGGTCACCAGCCGGTGTTGTGACCCCGACTGAAGTGCTCTTTGGGGAATATTTGCCCCACAAGCAACAAAATCCTGGCTATGGGCCTGAAAACTGCACACACACACACACCCCCGATGGTGCTTCAGAACATAACTGTTGGCCCACCTGGTGGACATAACTTCTAATTCAGGCCTTAGTGATCACTTTAGGTTACTCATTGGAGACGGTTCCCTTCTGCTATGTGAGGAATCTTCCATCGGAAGAAAACTTCTTCCCGACTCCTTTGACCAATAGAAAGACTTCCTATGCAATTCAAGTCTGAATAGTCTGGAACAACCGCACCGGAGCAATTGTAGGGGAAAAAAGACTCAGTGAGACTCAGAAAAACCCAGAAGGTGAGCAGATTGTACAATGTTATGTGGAAAGCCCCCCCCCCGCAGTTTGGAAGCTCGATGTGGGGAGGGGGAACCCCACTGCCATCCCCCGTCAAACACGTTTTACAGATTTTTAAGCACTTAGAAAAACCTGCAGATTGCCTTGATCTGGATAGCCCAGGCAAGCCTGATCTCGTCAGATCTCGGACGCTAAGCAGGGCCGACTCTGGCAAGTACTTGGAAGGGAGACCTCCAAGGAATACCAAGGCCGGGATGCAGAGGCAGACAATAACAAGCCATCTCTCTGAAATGTCCAAGCCCCACTAGGGGTCACCCGAAGTCAACCATGACCTCCAAGCACACACGGACACATACAAACAAAATACAAAAAAATGTAAAAACATTAAAAGAAGAAAAACCCGCAAATCTGCTCACCTGAGACAATGGTGGGATGAGCATACAGATGGAAGCCTCTGGTGTCTCCATCACACCATTTGGGCCTTCCCACCTCACAATTCACGTTCTTAGCCACCACGCCAGCAAACTGGCAGGTTTCTGGGTTTGATTTCCTGACACACGAAAGTGCAGCTATTTCTCTAAGGAAAGCTGAGCTGATATTCTCATCATTTCAGCAGATGGTGTGTCAACAGACTATCTAAATGTGTGAGAGTTGGCAGTCATTTGACTATGTCTCTGCTTTCTCACCTTCTGGGGTTGCCAGGGAAAATAATGACACATTGCAAAAGATGTCGGAGAGCCTCTATTACACACCAAAATGACTGCTCCTTCAACTCTCCTGGGTTTTTTTAGATTGGATAGGACAGGGATGAGGGCAGAGGAGGATCACTGAAACCCAAGCCTTAGGTAAGAGCAGCTACCCACATGGAACACCTGCATTGGGGTGGGGTAGGGGGGGTGACATTCTGTGTCATTTAACATGATAATAATTTCTCAGTATATGACATGAGTGGGATTCTCGAGGAATTCGTCTTTGTAACTTTTAAAAACCCAGCATGTTTCTGGGCCTCATTACTGTACAGAAATCTGTGGACAGCAGGCTAACTCTAACACAAGGTCCGAAAGTATGGCTTCAGATTTATCAGAGCAATCCTAAAGAGAGGCCCTGGTCACACGGCAAAGTTGCCGCGGGAGAGGCACGGATGGTGGGCGGATTATCCGGGGGCGATCACACCCCAACATCTGGGAAGTGGAGCGCACCGGTGGCTTACCGCCAACAATGCGCCTTTAAAAACCTCAAGGTACTAGTAAACGTTTGCCACGGGCTGCCTCCAGACACCCGTGGTGTGATCGCGCCAGCGTGCAGCATCCCCCTCCGGTCCCTCATTTACCTGCCAGCACCGCGGGAAGGACCCGTGGTGTGCCGCCGGCGCGTCTGATCGTGTAATCGCGCATCAAACTGCGCCGGGGCAACTAGCCACGCCCCCCCGCGATATCCAGCCTGTGTGACCGGGGCCAGAGTTATGCTATGTCCACTTGAAGTCAATCAGCTTACAAAGGTGTAACTCTGCTGGGGGTTGCACTGCATGTTTCTCGAACAGGAACTTCCTACCTTATACACAGCGAACAAATTTTGAACTCTGGAAGAGATTCCTGAGCAATTGGAAATGCAGCACAGGCATCAGCTACTCTAAGGAAATGAAAGTCCCATTAAGGGAACACAAGCCTTTTGGTGTGCCAAAAGTTATCATAATAGAATAGCTGTTGCAGCTATTGTCTTTGTACACTGGAAGCTAGAAGTACTGACATGAAGCATTCACTTTTCTGGAAGAAAAACGTATTCCTCGTTGCCTTCCAACACAGAATTCCCCATGTATCCCTTCATCTCTACTACCCTAGTACCTGCCAGAAATGGCAGATTGACACACATACACACAGCAAGAAACAATCTTTGTTAGTGGAATAATCTAACCCTAACCTTTCCCCAACTATATCAGATCCAGATTGCTAAATACCAAGGCAACCCTGCTCCCTGATCACTGTATGTTTACTCTGAAACAAGCTCCATGAGGGTCAGAAAAGCTCATTCCTAGATAAGTATATTTGGGTCTACCATCTTAACATTCCTCACATTTCATGTATCACTTTGCACCTACAGGATGGCTCCTAGAATAATTTCCACATGAAATTATATGTGAACCATTCCTTGCATTCAAAAGTACGGATACCATCAGCTAGACCCTGGACAGGTACAGTTCACAGTATTGCCTTCAAACAGGTTAGAACAACTGCACTTTTTCATGTATGTGCACCCACATAAATATTTCCAGGTGCCAGTCCAACGATCAACAACACAGTCAGCACTCTTGAAAAGTGACTCTTTGCCACTTATCTTAAAGTAGTGGACTGTCTGGAATTTTGGGAACATGAGGCTACGTTTCCTTTTGGTGCCCTTAGTATACAGGTTTAATGCTTCAGTTGGCTTATGATGCATAACTGTATACTTTTATTCTTACACTCACTCTTTAGTATTGAAGTTTTATTGACTGATTGTGTGTACCTGAATTTGTGCCTTTTGTCTCTGCACTGTAGTAGGCATTGTTCTCACTGATGCCCTTGTTTGATACGATGCTAGAGTGTTCAGCATTCATTGTAACTCTGATTCTTATACTAATAAAATATTTGAAAGCAAAAAAAAAAGAGTGGCTCTTTGGCCATTTGCTTTGTTTACTTACTTAATGCTACGTTTCTCATGCATGTGGACATTTTTTTAATGAAAAGGCATTCAATGCATTTCATAAACAACAAGATAAACCACTTGTATCATCGTTAATTTTTTTAAAAAGATGATTTTTTCACTGCACTGCAACATATACACTCCTATCCCAGGGGTCATTTTGTAGAAAAAGAGGTGCAGGAGCTCATTAGCATAACTCATTAGCATAACTTATTTGAATATGCCACACACCCTGACATCACCGGAAGTGTGTCAGAAGGCAACACCCACCGCTCAGGCTCCACTGGACTGTTTTGGATTGCCAGCTATTGGGGGGGAAGGAACATTCAGATCTGTCCTCGCAGAGGAGGGAGAGCTTGTACCTGAATAAAACTTGGTCTTAAAGGTGCCACTGGACTGTTTTGGGCCAGGGGGCCGGAATGGCTCTGCAACTTACCTGGCTGCTTCTTGCTCTGACTGAGGGTTGCTGGGAGCAGGGGGTGGGGCTTGTTGCATGTGCCCACCCCCTGGGCTCTTTACTGCCGGAGCTCCGCTCCTGTGCGCTCCTGCAGAAAATGACCCCTGCCTATCCCACAAGGCAGATCTGCATGCAGAAGTGTCCTATTATGTCTGGTTGTAGGTCCAGATCTTCCATACCGTATGCTCATTTTGGCCCCACTGATCTAGTTGGAGACATGTTTTCAACGTGAATGGAATGTGCATAAGTGTATTGCATGCATCTGTAAGGAAAAATAGATCTAGAAGTGTGCGTGCTTTGCATATGGGTATACAGGTGTGGAAAAAACAACAACAGGCTGCAATCCTAAAAAAAACTGTCCTGGAAGTAAGCCCCCTTGAATGACAGTATTAATGAATGGTATGATTCACAGTTATATTTATTATAACTGCAGAATAAATCAGGAGGGAGGTCTGGATGTTCAGCACACAATCACACATCAGCAGCAGTAAAATGTCAAATGGAAACTGTGGCTTTTTGAGTTGCCAGATGTTTTAGATTAAGCGCTAGAAACAGCCTCCGCTCCATCAACTTTAACGACCGTGCAATAATTGGGCCTAAACCATTTGGCATCTTAGAGGATCAAAAGATCACAGCCTTAAAACTTTTTTTTTCTATCTGTGACGGAAGTTTCAACTATGCAAGTACCAACAACAGCAATTGAATTGATCACCTGACACAAAAGTAAAGGACACAAGTCCTTCCTTAGGCTGTATATGCACTGCAAATGCCATTAGAATCAGAGAGGGTTGCAATATATGAATGCTTTTAAAGTGTGTTCACAGCACACTACACTCGCTCTCCTGATGACTTTTCTTGGCAGCCAACCCTTATTCCTATGGAGCGCTGCCTGCAGAGTGATTGGAATGATATCAGTGAATCAAGCTGGGATTTGTTTTTGTTTTAAATCTACAGTAGTACCTCTCTGTGAGGTTTGGGGAGTTCTATGATGAATATCAATCAGTGCTGCTGGCCTTTGAGACGCTGTATGAAACATCCATATATTAAGGAAGCTGCAAATAATACAGTTATGGGAAAGGCCTTATAATAACATTTAATAGCGGGAAAGCTATCTCATCTCTGTGGAATGTAATTTCTAAGCCATTCCGTAAAATGGTTGATTCTTAGCATGAATAAACCACTTGGAGGGCCAATTCATACAGGCAAAATCTCCTCCACCAAATGTATCCAGAGTAGGGTTGCCAAGTATTACCTTTCGCTGGAGTAGGGGACTCACGGCTCTTTCCTGGAGCGCAAGTGACGTGATCACGCTGGGCATGCTGGGGGAGGCGGGGCCACGACCATCCGAGGGAAAACCATAGAGTTTTCCCTCGGATGACCATGGTCCCACCCCCAGCGTGCCCGGCATGGTCGCGTAACTTCCGGGTGACGTGCACGTCACGTACTTTGGGGATGGGGTTCCCCCGGGGCCCGATCCGGCAGCGGCGTGGAACGGGCCTCTCGGGCGGGGGTTTCCCTGCCCCCCGGGGGGACGTGGCAAGCCTAATCCAGAGCCATCTGGAGTCATATGATCACATGGAGTGGAAGGAACTTCCACGATGGTGGAAGAATTTGTTCTAGTGAACCATTGGCATGGCGTGCTGGATGTGATGGGCTGTATCTGTGCCCAGTCTGGTTCTCATGGAAATGTTTCCATCTGAACTTACACAAGGTAGAGAGTGATCATTTATTTTATTTATTTATATTTCGATTTATAGCCCGCTCTCCCCACAAAAGCAGGCTCAGGGCGGGTCATCATGTGGGGGAAAACACAGGCAAACGTGTTCTGATGGACTGCACTTTTAAAAGTGCTATGTAAACAGATAAAGGACTGTGAAGGGTTAATTCTTCACAGAACCAGAGAGCCTTGAGTGTCAGGCTGCTTCAAGAGATCTGATTGGTTAGCATCAGCTGAGCAAAGAAAGACTTCTGAACTGGATGCTGAGGAGAAAATCAGTCAGATTTCAGTGCTAGCTGAGAAGAATCAAGTACTGACAGTTTTGGATTTCAGCCCTGACTGAGAGCAGTTTTAACACAGACAGGAGAATTGGGGGAAAGTTGGAAAGGAAGTTTGGGAAGTAGGCGAAGACTCCCATTCAGGCGAAGGAAAAGGCATAGATCTTCTAGAGAAATAAGAAAATCCCCTACCCAGTCCAACAGGGAGTTAGTTCTGAAGAGTGGAGAGATCCCTGGTCTGGTGTGGTTAGAAACTGTCTTTAGAGACCTTAAGAGTCAGTTACAAACTCAAGACAAGTATTGGTGTTTCAAGAGAAGGTGTTTGGGTACTGGAAAGAGTCTACCAGCCTTTTGGAAACCAAAAGAGTCAGTGAATGCTCAAAGAAAGTGTACTGAAGTGTTTGGGGAAAACACTGGAACAAAAGCCTCTCAACATAAAGACTTAAGTCACTGTGAAAAGCTTAAGAAACTCTCATTAGACTGAAATACAAGAACTAAAGTCTGTGCATGCACTGGTTTTACCTTAGAAATTTCAACCTCTGATTTCACTTGAACTTTACCCACTATGTTGAATAAAATATTCTGTTAATTTGGAATATAAAAACGTCTCGAGTGCCATTAAAGTTAAAGGGGGCTCACAATCCTTCCCTCAGGTTTCTCGGCTGAGCAAACAGCCAAAATATACTATGACAGAGTGGGACAGCCAGAGTTCTTCAGCAAAGAAAAAAACATATCACTAGGGTGGCTCAGTCAGTAAAGGGAAAGAAAAATGGAGTGAAAATCTTGCCTCTGAGGAAGGGAAGTGGATGGGGCTGTCATATGTGTGTTGAACTGATCTCTAGAAGCTTACTTGGACTAAATCATTCTCATTTCATTTTTTCTTGGTCCAACCTCTCTAAAGGGCTTTTTCAAAGGGCCATTTTGAACACACGTTGCAACACACCTATATTACCAGATGTTTTAGATCATGCTCAACACCTGTGTTGCCAGATGTTTTAGATCATGCTCTGTTGCTTCAGCACACAGTCTTTGACATTTACAGTGTCATACCTAAGCAGCATTTTATACCTTCTATGCTCAATGAACTTACAAGAGTGTAACTCTGCTTAGGATGGCACTGTCAGAAGCCTGGAACGGAAGAAAATGCTCAGAAATGGAAATCTGACACCACTAATGCAAATGTCTTGAATTTTTGACCTGTGAAAATTAATGTTCTTCTGGAACTGCACATTTTGGGTATGGCTGTATATTTGTATGTTTTTAAATGCCCTGCCTCTCTCTGCCAGTCCTTATCAAGCCTCTACTTGGCTTCTTCAATTCCTTCTTGTTCTGGTCTTGCCAAGACCCCAACACACTGACTGATAGCTCCCTGAGAACAGGAGCCCAACAGCTTAGAAAGCACTATGGTTTTCTAAAACTCTGAATCCCAGCACCCATAACCCAACATCCATTCATCCCTGGGAATGTTATTCATCCCTGGGAATGTTATTCACGTTATGCGAAGACAGATTTCTTTTTTTAATAGGAAAAGGGAAATTGTGATTCTTTTCCTATACAAATTTAATTTCCTACTGGTGCTAAACTGGAATTTGAAGGGTTGCCAAAGAAGGATTTTAGTTTTTATATACTGAGACCAGCTCCCGCTTCCACATTACAGACTATTTTTGACGCCCTCACAGATTTTACAACCAGCTTGTGATGCAGCTGGTGACTGGCTGGCTGGGCAAGGGCTTGCTGTTAGCAAGAAAGAGATTTTGCTTGTGTTAAATTTTCTGATATATGTTATCAGAGTGATATACAACTTACTAACTGATGTGTCAGGTTTAGTTTTCAGGATTCATAAACCAACAGTGTAAAAATATGTTTGATTTAGATATTTTATCTAAGCGCTAAGCAACAAAATGTCCTCTATTTCTACTTTTAAAAAAATCTGGGCCAAACCTACCCCTCTCCTATCTCTTCTATATTGTTATTGTTTACTGGGGGATACGCGGAAAATCAAGAAGAAAAGGGATTTCTGGAACCCCTTCTACCTGTAGAAGAAAGTCAAAGAGTGCCAACTTGGACCATTCTGAGTGCTGGACAGTTAGGCATGGGGCTTTCCCAAGAGAAGTTCTAGAACCTTCCATACCACACCGTTGCTTCAGTAACTCCTGATATTGTTGCCATCCCAGAGCAAAGGAGTTCTGGTCATTGTTGGAATCATTCAGGTGCTGTATATCAGGTGCCCACCATACAATGGGTCTGGTTTCCCCACTGGTATATTTGTAGGGCAGCAGGTGACTGTCAAACTTCCTGGCCACCATAGGCAGGCTCCGATGCAGTCCCAACACCCTGTCCAAGTGAAAAGCCAGAACCTCATAGAGGTCACTGGACCTTTTGATCAAGCCACATAGCTCATTCAAACAGAGTCTTTGTGGGTCATGTGTAAAGGCATTTTGGCTGGATGAAAGGGCGACTCTCAATATTTGCCCATGGGCAGGGATTCTTGCTTTGTTTACAACTGCAGCGTTAGCCAGAAACTTCATCTTCTGCACATCATCAAAAGTGAACCAAGGCAAGATCTTCTCACCAAACCTCAATCTACCTTCATGTTTTCTAGGAAGACCTCTGTCTTGCGGCTCTTTGCACCATTCCGATTTCTGTAGCTCCTTGGTTTTTCTGGCCCAAAAATGCCTTTCTGGAGTATGAGAGGGAGTATTATCCATCAGTCCCTGAGTGCCTGTCATGCTCTGGAAGAACTGCCTGTCTGAGATAATAGCTTTGATTAAACTGGAGGATTGGTGTTCCGTGCCAGCTGTCTGCACATCTGGTTTGCATTGCTCCTGTGGTATAGCTCGCAGGCCTGCTGAAGAGTTCTTCTGATATAAAAGAGCTCCCCTCTTTCCATAATAATGTGAAGAAAGGGAAACGGGGGCCTTCTGTGATTTCCACTCTACCCCCTTCTTTGTACAAGGATAGAAGCGACAGCCATTCCCTGCACTTCTGAAGGGGCCATCAAGTTCTCTTTTGTTTCCATGCTTAGTTTTGAGGAGATAGTCTTGGCATCGTGGTCCTCTGCTCTGTCCAGAACATTTTCCAGCAGGGTTTTGTTTCTGAATCTGCCCTTTGTACTTTCTCTTTGCTTTCATCGCCTTACGTCTGCCCCGGTTGCCGGGCTTGCTCTTTTGCTTCCAAGCAGAGTTGGAATTCGATGGGCTTTGTCTCCGCTGAGGACTGGGCCATTTCCTATGGCTGAAGCGCCATGATTGCCGGGCAACAGAAGTAGTCAAGTTCATCCACAGACACTTGGACTGGACACTTTTGTCAGCCATAGACAGATACTGGCTATCTGACCCCTTGTAGCTGCTCAACGATGGCGGAGGGTAGCTAGTAAGAGCAATCACAGATAAGGCAAGCAAGCAGCAGCATCCCGTGACACGTGACCTCTTCAGCCTCATTCTGTACCACCATCTGTGGGCCTGTGGAATTAGAAAGGAAGCTTTATTCACCAGGGCATGCTAGGGATGGCTTTGCTGATACAGACAATGTGCACAAGCATAGTGGTTCCCCAAAGGCTAATGCACCACTTCAGTTCTATAGAGAAAGTTCACATTGAACAACAGATTCTGGTTTTACATTATTCAGTTAGGGAGGAACTAATGGGCTGGCAAGCACTCTCCTTCTCCCCCACACATAGAAATTAATCATATCCACTTTTTACAGCAAACCACAATTTTCACCAGGCCACAAACTGTGGCTTGTTTGCTTCTCTCCAAAAACAGGTTTCGATCCAGGATTAAACCATATTTTGCAATCATGGTTTACAGAGAACCAAATGAGTTGCAGGTTGTGGTTTCCAACTTATTTACAAACTGTGAAACAACATGTGTGCAGATGTCTTTGCCTCTCAGAGCTTCCACTTTCTATTTTGATTTTCTCTTTCTACTCTAACTCCCCTATATGCATTCTAGGGTTGCCAAGCCATCACCTGACGCCCCTGGGAGCATTCGAGGCAGGGCAAGAGGTGGAAATTACATCACATGACACATAAGTGTTGCTTATAAGTGAAAACCTGGATGTGATGTCAGTGTGTCAGGTGACACTTTGGAAATGTCCTCAAACTCTGTGGTAATATAGAGTTTGAGGGAAATTCCAGAATGTTGCCTGGTGTGATAATGTCACACAGCAGCTGCAGGGAATGGCTTTTAAAAAATAAAGGAGAGCAGGGGTCATTTCGGGGGGGGAACGCGGGGGAACACAGTTCCCCCGGGTGAGGTACAGGGGGGCGGGGCACATGACGAAGCCCCGCCCCCTGCTTCCGGCTGCCCCGCTTCCGGCCCTCATTCAGCCAGAAGGAGGCAGGAGAAGAGGGAGGGTAAGTTGCTTCCTCCCTGCCTCCCCCACCCCTGCCTGCCTGGGGCCAGGGAGGGCCTTGGCGGGGCGTCCTTGCACTCCAGCCGGCCTTGCAGGTCCACTCGGCAGTGGAGCTGCAAGGCTGCCGGCAGCGGCCGGGACCGTTGGGGGCAGGGTGTGTGGCCTTATGACACACTTCCGGTGATGTCAGGGGGTGAGGCATATGCTAATGAGTTATGCTAATGAGTTCCCCTAGCTCTTTTTCTACGAAACGACCCCTGAAGGAGAGCCTAAATGTGCTCAGAACCCCACCACAGGGGAGGAAGGGCCTTTCCCTCCCAGCTGTTTTCCCTTGTGGAAACAGCACTGGGGAGAGTTATTTTCCCATTCTTGCTGCTCTGCGTGCATAGAATACTCCACGTGCAACAGCAAAAATGGGGAAATAACTCCCTCCCCCAGAGCTGTTTCTACATAGGAAAATGGCTTGGCAGGAGCCCTTCCTCACCCTGTGATAGTGTTCTAATCCTGTTTGGGGCTCTCCTTTATCTTTTTAAAGACATCCCCCACAGCTGCTGTGTGGCTGTGGGGAACCCTTAAAAACTTGAACATGTAGTTTGGCTCTATGCGAAAAGATGCCAAAAGAGTCAGAGAGAAAAGCAGACAGGCACTGCTGGGAGTGGCTGAAGTACCGTTTGCATGGGTGCACGTGCAGGAACTCCCTCTCTGGGACTTTATGTGAGGTAGCAGAACTCTTTGGCTCCCCCCCCCATGCTCTTACCTCCAAACCAAACTAAGCTGAAAGCACTAGCTCTTGGCTCTTATCTCCAACATAACAACAAAAAAACCCAAACAAACACCATCTGTGTTTTCAACACTCTTCTCTCTTCAAGAGACAGGGGGATGCATTCTGCACCAGAAGCCATGTATGTGGTGGTCTACGGAGTAACATAAATCACAAAGGCGTGTTCCTGGCTGAGAAGCCAGAGAGGGAGAGAGCACCAAGAGGAATGAATAATGGGATTAATACATGTACTTGGGTTTCATTTGAATTCAGCAAAAGACATCACTCCTCTTCCCAGCACTGCTAGACCCAGAAGGTACAGCACAGCAGGCATTTAGGGTGGTTATTTGTGCCTGATACCTAAAATGCAATTGTGAAGGGCTGAGATTTCCACAAATAAATCTACCTACACTCTGGGACAAGCTTACCTGATTGCCATGGAGACCATCGCTCTGACGCCACTTATTGAATACCTGAGGAGTAAGTCATAAAAGAATACCCCGGCCAACAGTAACTCTGTATTTCTGCTTCTGTAACCAAGTGGTTACAGAAGTTAAGTGGCTCAAGTGGTTAAGATGCTGAACTGCAGGCTGTGGAAGGTCGGTAGTTCAGCAGTTCGAGACCCGAGTGCGCCGCATGACGGAATGAGCTCCCGTCTCTAGTTCCAGCTCCTGCCAACCTAGCAGTTCGAAAGCAAGAAATTGCAAGTAGATAAATAGGTACCACTTCGGTGGGAAGGTAACAGCGTTCCGTGTGCCTTGGTGTTTAGTCATGCCGGCCACACGACCACGGAAACATCTTCGGACCGCGCTGGCTCTTCGGCTTTGAAACGGAGATGAGCACCGCAACCCTAGAGTCGGACTTGACTGGCTTTCGAGCAAGGGAAACCTTTGCCTTTACCTTTCACCATGTACCAAAGCATCCCGTAGGCTGAAGCATAAGACTGCCCTCCAGTGGGAAACCAGCAGGGAAATACAAACGAAAAGAACCCTGGTTTCGTATTTCTATAGATACCCAAACCTACACACACTTTGGGCTACCCCCACAAAGGGATTATTTATGTATGCAGCAGGCAAAGAAAACAAGAACTCCCAGCACTAAGAAGCATGGCTATTGATAACATTTTGGAGTCTGATAGTGGTTCAAGTGCTTAAAACATTTCATACCCATTATCTCAGTAATCCTCACAGCAAAGAGAGCGGATAATGGATCCACACGGTGGTGTCTGCTTTGCTCCGTACCATTCCTGTATTGCAGATGCAGGCTGCAGCTGAAAGATACCAGCTCAACTTCAGGACACCTAGTCACCTGACCTGAATGGCTCAGGCTAGTCTGATCTTATCAGATCTCAGAAGCTAAGCAGGGTTAGCCCTGGTTAGTACTTGGGTGAGAGACCAGCGTCCAGGGTTGCTACACAGAGGCAGGCAATGGCAAACCACCTCTGTTCATCTCTTGCCTCGAAAACCCTACCCGGTTGCCATAGGAGGTCTGTGACTTGACAACACTTTCCACCACTAGTGATTCATAGCTGAAGCAACATATGCATCAGGAACTCGGCGGTTCACAGCTTTGTGTCTTTGCCAGGGGTCATTTCCTGCGGGAGCGCACAGGAGCCGAGCTCCGGCAGTAAGGAGCTCAGGGGGCGGGCACATGCAACAAGCCCCGCCCCCTGCTCCCAGCAGCCCTCATTCGGGCCACGAGGAGCAAGAAGCAGCCAGGTAAGTTGCAGAGGCCCCCCCCCAGCCCGCCTTCAGGTACAAGCTCTCCCTCCTCTGTGAGGGCAGATCTGCACGTCCCCCCCCCAATAGCTAGCAATCCAGAACAGTCCAGTGGAGCCTGCCTGAGTGGTGGGTGTTGCCTTCTGACACACTTCCGGTGATGTCAGGGGTGTGTGGCATATGCAAATAAGTTATGCTAATGAGTTATGCTAATGAGCTCCTGCACCTCTTTTTCTACGAAATGACCCCTGGTCTTTGCCCACTGTACTGATTCTCTCTGGCTCTGCAGCCAACAACCTTCAAGGAAGTCAGAAATGACACACAGACCATTCCAATGCCTCATGTGGTAATAGACACAAGACACAAATGAACTTTAGATGACCTGCACACAGAGAACCACTCAGCAGGCTTTGAGGAAAGAAATTTGAGGGAAGAGGATTTTGCAGTACCAGTAACTAAGAGTGTGTCCTTGGCAAACATGAGCTTTGCCTAACATTGCCCACCAGATCAAAAGATAGAGGAGGATTATAAAATGATGAATGAATTAAAGATAGCAGGTAGACAAAAACACTGTGTCGTAATAGGTGATTTTAACTACCCACACATTGATTGGGTCAATATGTGTTCTAGTCGAGAAAAAGAGATTGAGTTTCTAGACACTCTAAATGACTGTGCTATGGAGCAGATGGTCACGGAACCTACCAGGGGAGAGGCGATTCTTGATTTGGTCCTACGATCCTAGAAGCTCAAAAAATATATATATTCTGCAGGTTAGGAAAGGCACAAACAGGTATAGGAAAAAGCCTGCATGGTTAACAAACAAAGTAATGGAAGCTGTAAAAGGTAAACAGGATTCCTTTAAGCAGTGGAAAACTAGTCACAGTGAGGCTGATAAAATGGAACACAGGCTATAGCAAATAAAATGCAAGTTTGTGGTCAGGCAGGCAAAAAGGGAATATGAGGAGCATATAGCAAAAAACGTAAAAACCAACAATAAAACTTTCTTCAAATACATTAGAAGCAGGAAACCAGCCAGGGAGGCAGTGGGGCCCTTGGATGACCAAGGGGTAAAAGGAGTATTGAAGGATGATAGGGAAATGGCTGAGAAGCTGAATGCATTTTTACCTCTGTCTTCACTGTGGGAGATGAGAAGTGCTTGCCCACTCCACAACCGCTGATTTCAGGCGGGGTGTTGAAAGACCTGAGTCAGATTGAGGTGACGAGAGAGGAGGTCCTAAAACTGATAGACAACTTAAAAACTGATAAATCACCAGGCCCAGATGGCATACATCCGAGAGTTCTGAAAGAACTCAAATGTGAACTTGTAGATCTCCTGACAAAGATATGTAATCTTTCCTTAAAATCTGCCTCCATTCCTGAGGATTGGAAGGTAGCTAATGTCACTCCCATCTTTAAAAAGGGTTCCAGAGGAGATCCGGGAAATTACAGGCCAGTCAGTCTGACATCGATACCGGGTAAATTGGTGGAAACCATTATTAAGGAAAGAATGAGTAGGCACACAGATGAACAAAACCTATTGAGGCAGACTCAGCATAGGTTCTGTAAGGGAAGATCTTGTCTCACTAACCTGTTAGTGTTCTTTGAGGGGGTGAACAAACATGTGGACAAGGGGGATCCAATAGATATTGTTTACCTTGACTTCCAGAAAACTTTTGA